CGATATCGCTCGGCAGGAAGGATCGTTTTCGTGGTTTCCGGCGTGATCGAGACGAAGCGGCCAATCGAAAAAGGAAAGAAAGAAGAAGAAGAATAAGAAGGAGAAGGAGGAGAAAGAGGAGAAGACGGAGCAGAGAGGCTTTAGAAGTTTCCGAACAGTGGACTCGATCTTGTCCGGCTGGAAGGCGACGTTCGAAATTATTCTCGAGGAAAAAGGACCCACCATAGAGCAGTTCGTCTACGCAAAAGCGTACAAAATACAGGTTTTTTCTATCGGTATATCCAGAGCTCTGTCGGCAAGTACGTATTTGGCCGTACCTTTCTCGATCTTCAACTCTCGATAGATCCAACGTCTTCGAGCGAAGCACGCATCGCGGAACGACTGGAATCCGAGGAAGAGCGTACAAGAAATGCTGGCAGACGAGCGTTAGGAAGCGGAGAGAGGAAAACGCGAAACGTTCGAAGTACGTACGTACGGAGATGAAAAATACATGGAACAGAGTGTGAGAAGGATCGGGAGGAAAACCGGTGCGACGTAATTTTCCGAAAATGTGTACACATGGAGGAATAGGGGAAAGTAGAAATGGGGAGAATCCGGGTATCGAAGAGACGAAGAAACACGTCGACGTCGAAACACGAAGTTCGCACGTGAGGACAAAAGGACGTGAAACAAAACGATGAAATCGTAACGTCTGTCGCTAATAATAATAATAATATTAATAATAATAATAATCATAAGAATAATAATAATAGTAATAATAGTAATAATAATAATAGTAATAACAATAATAATAATAACAACAATAACAACAAGAACAAGAACAACAATACACAACAATAATTAATTAATTAAAATATTAACGAGGATATCGACGACAATGACGGAGACGGTGACTGCGACGTGTCGTGCCTCACCGAAATGCGGCAAACCGGTATAATCCCGCGTTCACGGTCGCGTTGCTTAATCGACAAAGTGCGAGAGCAAGACGGAGCTTGGGAGATGAAACGATAGAGCGAAGGAAGATGGGCGATGGTAAGAGAGGACAGTCCCGAGACCAACGCCCGAGGGATTCAAAGCGACGCTACAACGGATTTCACCGTGGCTATGTTATTCTCACGGCACTTTTTAATCGCCCTTTCTCCGCAAAAGCGCAGATCAAACGCCTGCCGTGCAGAAATTACACGAGCCGAACGAACCAAAGAGAGACAAGCGAAACGAACAGAACGAACCGCGCCGATGGTTGGAAGGGGGAAATCGGAGAGCGGGAGAAAGAAAAAGAGACCGAGAAAGAAGGGGTCGAAACGAAAGGGAAGCGCGGAGATAGGAATCGATTCGCGATAGCCTCGGCTGCTGAACTCGGCCACCGTGAGCTCTTTCGGCGTTCCCGCCCCTCTCGCGATTCCAATTATTCGCCAGCGCGACATTAATTAAGCAAGATAATTTGCTCTCGAACCGAGCTGCCCAATATGGCGTCTGTCGGTGACGACGGCCCTGGGCGCAGACGTGTTCGCGTTTTAACGATTTCAAAACGCTCAAGGATCCCCGGAAAATAAATTCGACGAGACGAAAGTTGTCGCTGATAACGACGACGACAACGACAACGACGACGACGACGACGACAACGACGACGACGACGACGACGATGATGAAAACGATGATACACAAACGATAACGATAATGATAACGATAAAATGGTGACAAAGGACAATGAATAAATAATAGTTTACGGATAATAAAGTAAATGATAACGATTAAATAACGAGATAACGATAAAAGGTGGGGATGATACAATGGAGTAACGTTAACGTTAACGATAGAATGATTACGATTACAGTTATTGTTACACGTTCGATGCGTCGTATGCATTCGAATTTAACGAAGAGAACACGCACATATACACTGAACACACGGAACCAGCACGTACACACAGATAATTTGTTATTTCGCGAGGAGATAAAAAGCAAGAAAGAGCGAGCGTAGAGGGAAAGATTGCGCCGTAGTATAACGAAGCGAGAACAGCGTACGAAAGAGAAAGAGCGAATACGCGTGGAGACGCGAGAGAGGTAGCGAATGCGAGAGAGCGTGAAAACGGTGGAAGTCTCGGGAACGCTAGGGGGCGAGAAGATGCCAGTACACGTTTTCGTATAAGCCGTTAACGATTAACGAGACATTTAAAAAAACACAAAAAAAAAGACGTAGGTAGATAGTACTTCGGTCGTGAGACAGAAAATTGGAGAGCATGTACGAAACGCGCGAATCAAGATTCGAGCAACTCGACTGCCGAATCGATACGAGAAGAGAATTATACGACGGTAGAACCGGCAACGGTTAGCACACGGAGATAAATAAACACGACGTTATCGAGGTATAAATATGTGTTCGTTTAGACATTACGATAAATAAGTATTGCATTAATATAGACGTGTAACGATATAAATTAAAGGAGAGAAAAAAGAGAGGAAGGGCGCGAGTGTATATGCGTACGATTGTGAGGGGTTAGAGAGGAAGAGAGAGAGGAGGTGCGAGGCGTGGAGAGGAGTAAAACGATAGAGTAAACGAAAAGTAGAAAATAAGAAGAAAAAAAAATTGCAAGAGAAGCTAGAGAACATACGTTGACTAGAAAAAGAAAAAAAAATAAAACGTAGGAAACTGATGAATTTTTTATAGAGGAATATTCTAAAGAGATATTACGAAAATAGCGGTATAAAGGAAAAAAAATTTTGTTTTTCACGTTCTTTCCTGCACAGTGTACGTGGCTTCGAATTTTTCTTTTTCTGTTTTTTTTTTCGAAAACGTTGAACGTCACACACAGGATATTTACACGTTACGAAATAGCACGTGTGTAGAAGAGAAGTCTACGAAATCGATTATTTAAAGGAGAATTAAACGACACCTACCCGCAGAATAATTACTTTTTTCATTGTCCTTGAACTTTTAGCGGTAGATGGAGACACGAGAAAAAGATTGTTCACACGCTAGCGTTACCATCTTCTTCGAATCACGAAACTCGCTTGCACATACCTCGGAACACCATGATAGAATTTCAGAGGGGACGCGTTTCGTTTCAGCGTGTGGATCGTTTAAAACAGGTGAAATCGACGAAGTATATTTGGAAAGACGAAGAGTCGTTCGTCTAACGGACGATTTCACGCTGAAATGTAAACATCTGAACGCGCGTCGAAAGCGTAGGATCTCGAAGACGCGAAGGTGACCGAACGAAGCCACGAGAGCCACTATGCGGAGAAAGAAAGCAAGAGCGAGACAAGCACCGAGCGAAGAGAAGAATCGTCGTCATCGTTGTGTCGTAAAATTGCAGGAGGTCGTGCACAAGAAAAGCATGTCTTATACACTTACTTACACGCATAATAGAGGTACACGCATATACATACGTGCAGCGTACACGGAAATAAGAAATGCATTCGCGGAGATAAGGAGAACAGACACTGTGTCCCGCGTGTGCATTCATTACGTTGTTAAACATTGTCCAATACATAATTGTTACTAACGTACATTTATAAGATGAACGAAGAGAGTAGCGAAACAGAGAGAGAGAGAGAGAGAGAGAGAGAGAGAGAGAGAGAGGGAGAGTGAGAGAGGAAGTGAGAGGGAGAGTCTGTGTACGAGTGTTACAAGGAGAGACAGAATGCGAAAGACAGCGCGAATGAGAAGAGGGAGGAAGAAACGAGTGAAAGTGTGAGAGAAAGAAATCGACTGCAAACCGAAGTTAACAAAGGTATGGCCAATGCACGGGAAAAAAGACATATAAATATTATAAATATATAAATAGGTATTACGCGAAAGAATTGCCAATGGGGGGGAGAGAGAGAAAGAGAGAAAGAGAGTGAGCGAGTGAGTGAGAGTGAAAGAGAGAGAGAAAGAACAAAGAAAATAAAACCATGTAGATGAAACGGTCTTAAAAAACACGATTGCTCGACTATATGTAAATATATGTATTTACATGTATATGTATATATGTAAAGTTTACGTGTATACATATGTATGTACGTTGTGTGGGTGTGTAAACGCACATGTGAACGTTCATGTATGCGCACACATGTAAACATATATACACCTGTTCGCGTATGTATGGGAACTAGCGAGAGACAAAGAAAAATACTAGCGATGCGACGTATGCGTGTGCCGAGAGCGAAAAATAACTAGTGAGAGTCTGGCTATCCGCGACTGCTTTCCGTGCAATTTTTGCGGTTGAACGAAACAGTGGAAAAGAAAAAGAAAAAAAGAAATGATATGTATAGCGGAGTATGCGAAAAGGGAAGCGTATGGCCCATAACGATCGAACATCGACGAAACGACGGTCAACGGAGAGGGGGAAGGCTGCTAGACGCGGTGTAGACTTTAAGGCGATTAATTTCCGGTGAGGGGCGAGAGGATGAAACGCACAACACGCAAACGCAATTACACGAGTTACATTTTTTCGCTTAAACGACAGACGAGTTCGTCGAACGGTAACCGGAGCAATAACTTGAAACGCGTTGAAATGGCAATTGCGTCGAATACGATCGCCGTGACGTTGTGCCTGAGCGAAAGACGGGAATAAGAAAAAAAGAAAAAGAAAGAAAGGAGAAAGAGAAGAAAGGAAACAACAAGGTGAAAGAAAGTTCGTCCGTGTTGGATGGTTAAGAGACACGGGTGTACGCGCAGCCGTCTCCGTGCGTACACACTCCGTACGTACGAACGATGACGAGTGGAGAAGAAAAATTGAAACGGCCGAGAGGAACGCAAAGCGATAGCCAGCGCCATAAGTGATTCTATTCTTTCTTCCTAGGCGACCGCCATCTAGCCCAGATTAGTTTCGGCGAAGCGACATTGGTTGTAGGAATGGTTCAGCCTGACACGAACCACGAACCATTGAATCGTAAACGCGCGTGACTCGTCGGTGACGGGTGCGCGAGGTACGCGCAATTACGCTTTATCGATACGTAAATACGCGCGCACCTACGCGTACGCGCTTAAACGTAAACATAACCAAGACGGATAAATCGATTTTAAAAGAAGACGCACGTATTACGTTAACGCGTTAATCGTCAGGCTGGCTGGCTTTTAATTCGCGCACGATCTATCTTACTTGGAAAGCGACGATCTCTGAAACAGACTAATCTAACGTAGGGTTTTAACGATAAACGTTTCAGTAATTTGCCGGAACCACGATTAACGCGTTAAAATTTATCCAACTCTCGTAGATCTACTCTCGCGAGCTTCGCTCTTTTCGTTATTTCGTCTCTTCTCTTTCTATCGGTTCGACTCGTCTCAATTTTCTTGTCGATCATGCCTCGTCGATCGACTTCCGGTCGATATTACTTCTCTCTATCAACCGCGTTTCGCATCTTCGAGAAACGATAAACCATAAATCGGTACCAACGCCGAAATGTTTGCTCGCCAACTTTATCGTTCTCGTAGATCGCGTCTTGCTCGTTCGTTCGTTCGTTCGTTCGTTCGTTCGTTCGTTCGTTCGTTCGTTTAGAAAATGATAAGCAATGTTCTTGGACCATTAACGAAGGGAAAAATCGACGGAGTAATAAGAATATTTTCGCATCGTTGATTCCGATATAATTTTTTTATAGATTATACTAAGAAGCAGCGAAAGCAAGTGCGTGACGATAGGAAGAATGGGTAAGGAAGCATCGTGCCAAGTACACGAAGCCCTTTCCTAACAGCGTATATCCGCGTTCACTGACCAAAGCTCAGCTGCGTTTCGAACGTTCTTTCGATGTTCTCGTTTCTAAAGAGTCTTTAGAGACGCGGTCGCATTTACGTTCCGATCGATCCGAAACTCCGCTCGAATCCGAGGAGCTCTCTGCGGTGCTTCCTCTTTTGTCCATCTCCTCCCTCTTTTTTTCCGCTATTCGCGCTCGAAAAGAAGCAATCGATGAACGGCGATTCTGTCTCTTGTTTGGAATTCTCAATCGCGAATCGATA